CCCAAACCAAAACCCAACAACAACAACAAAAAATACAAAATTACAAGTACAGGTTGAATATCCCTTATCCAAAAAGCTTGAGACCAGAAGTGTTCCAGATTTTGGAAAATTTGCATATACATAATAGGGAATCTTGGGGATGGGACCCAAGTCTAAACATTAGATTCAATTGTTTCATATATAATTGTATACATGTTGCCTGAAGTTTTATTTTTTCTTTTTGCTGGTGACCAAAACCCAGGATCTCACACATACTGGGCAAGTGCTCTACCAGCGAGTTATATTCCCTACCCCTTGTATGGTATGTTTAGTGTGTATGCATTTTGGTTTTGACTAGTCATATGAAGTCATGTGTGAAATTTTCTACTTGTACTGTCACACTGATGCTCAAAAAGTTTCATGTTTTGGAGCATTTTGGATTTCAGATTAGGGATGCTCAATCTATACAAAATTTCTTGAACCCAAATCAGGGAGTTGAGAAGCACCCATGTGAGAAGGGTCTCCTGAAAGTTTAAGCTCAATGATAAATGTCTCTTTGTTTAGATTAATATTACACTGAGACCAAACTTTTCTCTAGCTTCATTTCCAAGTGAACCCATCTCCTTCAAATCCCCTAGATCTCACTCACGGAAAGTCCAAAGCTGAGTTTAGGGTCATTATGAAGTCAACTGTGTTTGTCCAGTCAACTGCCTGTAAATATTTATTTCACAACTACTACAGTAGAAATAAATGAATTCTCAATTTAAAGATATATTTTAAACTTATTTGAAATTTAGTTAGTTTGTGCAAATATGTAAATATACCTGCTATATATTTTTTTCTTTGAGACAAGGTCTTATTATGTTGCACATGTTGGCCTGAAACTCCTGAACTCATGTGATTCTCCTGCTTCAGCCTCCCAAGTAGCTAGGAGTACAATGGCACCACTACACCCATCTAAAAATTTTAATTAAACTCTTAGAAACTATTTCATAGTAGAAAAATCAAAATTTGGGGGAAAAGTGAAAGCTTTTATATTACATTTTTATTTTGCAAGAAAATAAATTATACAACTTAAAAAATAAAATCCAAAAATTAAGCAGTTCATCAAAATATTTCAGCCTACTGCATACAGAAACTGCTACCATTTAAAATTGTACAGCATTATCATCTCAGTATGTAGTGGCACACATTCAAAATCGTATAGACCATATGAGGATAGATTACACCTTAGAAACTCAAAATTTGTTCAACACTCCAAAAGACATTAGTGTAGATGACAAGAAAGCTCTCATGTAATGTTTTTATCTCACAAACATGACCTTGGAAGAATTTATAAGACAGCATCCCAGTCATTCACATGAAAATAGAAAAACCAGCTTAAGTTTATGATAGCAAATCTTTCTTTAAAACTAGCAAATCTTTTACCCAAACTGAATTTTAAAAATTTGCCCTCTGAGCAGGACTAATGACATCATACTGCAAATAATGCAAAATCCTTTCTTAACAACTAAGGTCATGTTTTGTATTAAATTTAACAAAAAGTAAGAAGAGAACTAACGTTTCATTTTAGGAAATTTTAACATTTATGCACAAAATAAGATCAAGGGACTTAAATAAACAGGTTGAAAGAACTTGGGGACCCCTCCAATAAATGTAAAAATTGGAAGACTTCAGAATTTATTTCAAGATCCTCATCAAATCATTGGAACAGTTACGTTCTAATATTTATTATATCATTGTAAGCAACAAAATTGTCGTATATTTTTACTTTGTAAATTGTTTCATATCTTACTCTGGCAATGAGGTGGCAACGAAGATTAACATTTTCAGACAGACGGCTCTATCTTTAAAATCAGAAGATGAGTGGTCAAAATTTAACCTGAGGTGCCCTCTTGCCATGCTACTCATAAAAAAACTTAAAAATTATATTTTGGTGGTGAAGTTGGGGACTGGGTTTTCTTTTTCCTTAACTATGTTAGGTTTCATTTCTGCTCAGATAGCACTAAGTGTTCAATGGAGAAAAGAACCTGATAAAGGTACACATTACAATTAGTATACTTTAACAAATTGCTGATAAAATTTTCTCTTCAGATTGTATTTTTTAAAATTAGCAAATCTATTGTCAAAACATATTAAAAGAAAATTCAACAATGGTATAGGCACCATGTCAACTAAATGGTTTTCATAAACACCAAAAAGTAGTTAAATTTTTGTATATATAACCAAAAAAAAAAAAAAAA